GAACCATGGAGGTTTAACAAAATTTTAAGACATTCTTTAAATTCACAAATCTTTGTAAATCAATGAATAGAGCTATAGTTATTGTATGGACTTGTATCGTGAGTGAATTTCCCGTATGTGGGGTCTACTCAGGCGAAACTCTTAATGTTCATACATTCTGAGATATTTTAAAACAGATAGGCATATGGCACATATCTAAAAAATATTTTGTTTAAAAAATTCAAGTATATAGAGAACAAACTATGGTCAAGTTATATAGGCCTATATCTTATTGTTTAGGGCCTATATAGGCATTTCATGAATCTATGATATATTATAATATTGACAACATCAATAGAACATGTATAGGTGGAATTTTGTCCAACCCGTCATGAAATTAGGCCTACTGAATAGGCTTATCTCAGTGCGTGTGAAAACACTTACAAAAATACTACTCGCTGATTTACTTGGGTTTGAATTCAACCCTGGCTATCAGGTGCAAGCTCGGTGGTCTAGAGGTACTGTAGGCCTATGATGCCAGGCTAGTGATCTGGAGAACTGGGTTCGAGTCCCACTGGAGAACAAGTTACACACACACTCAGTATTCAGTACATTTTCACGACAAGTTGGGCAAAATTGCACATATAAGCCCCCCCCCCATTGGTTCTCCTGACGCAAATCCAGGTATTGTTTATTCCATCACGATAATAACAATTACCATTCAACAATAGAACAGTCATCTCGACCTACTTGCAGTGAAGTGAATCTAAAATGTATTCATAAAGTTATGATGTGAAGTGTTTAATATCGTACACAATAATAGTTGAACCAACTTTAAAATACAGGTACCACAAATACAAATGTGCGTGACGATATTTAAATATTGTTTTAGAAATGTGATTTCAAAAAGTACATTAGTGCATCACGCACTTGAGTATTAAATACATTTTCACGACAGGTTGGGCAAAATACATATAGGCCCACTAATTGATTCTCCTGATGCGAATCCAGGTATTGTCTATTCCATCACCATAATAACAATTACCATTCAATAATACAACATTCATCAACCTACTTGCAGTGAAGTGAATCTAAAATGTATTCGTGAAGTTATGATGATCTGAAGTGTTTAAAAACGTACACAATAATATTTGAACCAACTTTAAAATACCACAAACACAAATGTGCGTGACGATATTTTATTGCAATAGAAATGTGATTTCAAAAAGTACATTAGTGCATCGTATGAAAGGGCTTGTTTTGTTGGATTTTTTTAACTTGCAGCGTGTGGGAAATTGGTAATAGGTAGGCTCCTAAATTGTAATGAATATAATCAATATTATAGCCTCTAAAACCTAATATTATTGAAGGGTCTGTTTAAAGTTTAAATAGGATTTTTTAAAGTTATATTTTTAGATCATTAGACCAGATTAGACCTATTGAACGAGCCCCCAATACTGCACTGCCCATACCTACAGTACGCCACTGGACCGAAGTATTATTAGTGGTTACATAACGTTGCTATGCATATATCATGCGCTATAGAAGTGGAAGACCATAATGTAGTAGGAATGTACTTCTCTCTGGTACAATTTAAAAGTTTAAAAGTGTAAGGTATAGGATAGCGTGGATATAAACATTTTCCTAATGGTAATGTTCAAAATAAGTGTCAAGGAAAGTAAGTATGATTGTTGGAAAAATGGTGAACATTTTATTTTGATTTCTCACCCTGACCTTCGCCTGGGTGAAGTGGGCGAAAGTCTGGATCCGCATCTACAGTAGTTAGCATGAATTTTGTAAGCCAGGACCCAGTATTATTTTGTTACGCTTCTTCACAGAGGGGGGTTCGTCTGAACCCCCTAAACCCCCTTGGATCTGCCACTGCATAATACTGTAGAAATAATATAAGTCCATTATCAAGCTTATTAAATGAATTCTAACAAGTCTTTGATACAGCACGTACCATATTTTCTTCAGTTTTAAGAAAATGGATTGCGACATTCGCGTCATCGAGTCTGGGCAGTTTTAAACCGTACTTCTTGGTTCTAGCCTCTTTCAACACTAATCTTTTACATTTTTACATCAGTATAATCTGTATTTTTTAAGCTTTTTCTGGAGCCAAACTTGACATGAAGCAGAGTAAGGTAATTTTATCACCTAACACCAAGGGAAGTAAAAATCATGGCTTTAAAAAAATTAATACTGTGTTGTATTTGATACTTGTGTACTGTACCTCAAAAACATTGAACAGCAAACCATCTGTCTACAATAACCATTTCAAGCATTGAGGTAAAATATCACAGTGCACATAAGTTTAACATCACCAGGTAAAAGACAGCCGATTTTGAGTGGTAATTTTTTCCCTGCGTCTGTGTAAATATGCACGTGAAGAAAAGTAGTTGAAATATCTTACCACGTACCAAATGAAATCGATCAATAAAATATTTAAAATATTAGTTATTACCTGATTAATATTCAAGGTGTAGTTAAAAACAATGTAACCTTGAGCCTCTTCTTTGTCAGAAATAAATGCAATGCATATATTGATTTATATTGGTAACAGATGGGGATTGCAGTACTTTTCAATGCATATTTTAATATAAATTTTTTCTTAATTAATTAATTTGTCAATTTATGTCAATCCTAGTTTTAATTCCCATGCACAAATTGTAAATTAATATACAATAAAATAAGGTGATGTAAATTGTAGATTATTGTAAATCTTATAGCAAAATATTTTGATTTTGTATTTTTATGAATTAGTTTATTTATAGAGTACCGTATTTATTGTGATGATGGAGTTTTTTGTCAACGTACATACTCTGAGCCATTTACAAATGGGCAACTTGAATTCTTGCACAAAATGGCTACTCCTAATAACAAGCTTTGTTTGACATTGGAAATACTTAATGTATTCTTTTTTAGTTAAAAGTGAAAGCTTTGTAGTTTTGTTAAATCAACTCAAGACATACTGTACTGAAGGTTGAATCTAACTAGAGTAATTTAGACGTATTGATGCACACGCAAGCAATCATATGCCTAGTAGACCATTATAGATTGTTATATATTAACATTATTATTGTAGAACGTTATATGAGAACGTTCTTTAACACTAAAGTATATTACGTTATTATAATGTTTGTTAATTATGTTACATAAATATAATGAATGAACATTATATATACGTTATAAAAACATAATAAATACCTAAGTATATTCCTAGAAAAATACATTCAAGAACATTATATAAAGACAGTTAAAATACCAAACAATTACGTCATTATAACATATTTTAAACGTTATTTTTTAACGTTTTAATACATCGTGTTGATAAACGTTATATGAACGTTATATTCAAACTTCATATTTTAAGTTATATGTACATATATATGGTTCTAAAAATTTATGTTTGTAGAACGTTATATGAGAACGTTCCTAACACCAACTTATGTTACGTTATGATAACGTTTGTTATAACGTTACATAAAGGTTATGAATGAACGGTAATTATATACCTTATATAATTACATAATAAAATGTAAATAAATAGTCCTACAAAAATATTTTCTGAGAACGTTATATAAAGACATTTTAAACACCAATCTATAACATAAATATATCGTTTTCTTAACGTTCATTTTTAACGTTTTTATATAGTTTGTATATAACGTTATATGAACGTTATATGCGAACGTTATGTTTCAGGTTATTTGTACGTATATATGGTTCAACAAATTTACGTTAGTAGAACGTTATATGAAAAGGTTCTTAACACTAATTTATGTAATACGTTATGAACGTTTGTTAGTGACATTAGATAAACATAATGAATGAATGTTAAATATATTCGTTATAATTACGTAATAAATACGTAAATACAATCCTACAAAAATACATTCTTAGAACGTTATATAAAGACATTTTAAACACCCAAGTAGTACGTTATTATAACGTTTCCTAAACATTATTTTTTTAACGTTTTTATATAACATTATATGAACGTTATATGCGAACGTTATATATGTAAATATGGTTCTACAAATTAATGTTAGTAGAACGTTATATCAAAACTTTCTTAACACCAAACTGTAACGTTATTATGACGTTGTTATAACATAATACTGTTAGCTAGGTCTATCCACACTATTACATTTTCTTTGACTAAAACTGTTGAGGCCCGTATATAGTCATGATGTGCTTATATATGGTCATGATGTGCCTATATATGGTCATGATGTGCCTATATATGGTCATGATGTGCCTATATATGGTAGGCATGTCACATTTTCTTGTCAAATAAGATTTGATAGTCTGGACTGGGCTTCAGCTTCCTATAATTAGTTATGATCAAGAAATAAATTTAATTTCACATCTTGAATTTCTCCGCCATCTGGAATGCTTTTCCAGACACGATTAAACTTATTCATTAAAGCCATTTTTCTCGTTCGGCCAAGCCTAGTCTGATGGGCGGAAATTTCCCTCTCTGACCCCATGCAAGGGCCCAGTGGTGATTGGAAATTAATGAGTTTTTCGTGGGGTATCTTTGGTATTTACACTTAATAAATCCAATCCAATCCAAACTGCTGAAACCTTCATTTAATGCATACTCCAGCTTTTCGTCCACCTTAACTTGGTGTACTTACTAAAACAGGACCGTTATAACTTTCTGACGAACCAACAGGTACATTTTCTGGTAGGAGGCCAGCAGATTTAATTCCTTCTCCTAGATCATCTGTTCTCTGCATTTAAAAATCGCATTCATCTTCTTGTATCTTGCTTTTCAGATGCCTAATAATTAGATTGATGTTTCACATATCTTGTTAATTTTGCCTTTGTTTTTTATAATGAAAGTTTTTGTCAATAAATTGTGTGATTGTTGACCACTCTATATCAGTAGTTGAGGTTTATTTAGTTAATTCGATTTTTTGTTTTAAATTTTATTTTTTAAATACAGTACAGTATTTGCCTTTTTACAAAGAATGGTTTTTTCATTTTATTTCTTTTTTTTCTCTACTTGCTTATAGTTACCTTCAAGTTTGTATACACAATGGGATCTCAGGTAAGTTTAAATAATTAATTATGCAAAATTACCTACCTAATTTAAGGTGCCTTTGAACGGAATTTTTCATAAAAAGAGCGCTTTGTTATAAATGTGGTAAATAAATAATACCTGATTCACATTACTGAAATGTACCAATATTTTGGTAATGAGAATGCGTCCGTGTAAGAATACCAAAGACATCTTGGGGAGGGAAAAAAACAACATCAAAAGGCGTGTACAATTCCCTAGGTAATTAGCAATGATCTGTGCGCTGGGTAACAAAGTGCAGGTTAACTTTCACTTGGCATCAAATGTGTTCACTGTCATCAGTATTGTACCAACTTTCAGTATGTCTGTTAGTAAAGTGAAAGTAAAGAATCTTGGTGGAAAAATACTGTATCAGAATGATGTATATTTTATATTACTTACTGTACATTGGCGTATCCATGATTTTGAATAGAAATGTTACATCCCTTGAACGCAAGGTACGAAACTAGTGACGGAGCATCTTCATATCTATGACTACACCATAAATTTCTTGTTAATGTCTAAAGTAACTAACTTTGCCATTTATTTCCATCATTATTTTATTGACGCTAGTTAAGAGGGAGGTGCTCAAGTACTCTGAGCACACCCACCCCCCCCCTCCCACACACAATGGTTATGCCACTGTTAGGTGCAAATTAACTTTAGTCTTATAAGCGTGATATTATGATGCCACCTCTTTAATATATTTACAGGATATGAAGGATTTCAAAATAACAGGTATTGTGGCTGCGCCATTTACACCTTTCTCGGACGATGGGTAAGTCATGCCATATTTTTTAATTTAGCGCAAGGGTGGCTGTGAATAATGTATAAAGATTATTAAGTAATCACATACACAGACATGGCAGAATGGGATTAGTAACTATTATGCTTTTTGCTATACCATTCTCAAACCATTACATTACCACACATATTTCAAAATGTGTTTGCTGCCCTCAATTAAGTTGTTTCTTGAAAGGCTGTGATAGAGCAATTACTTTTCATCATTACTCCCATTATGAAGCTATAGGCGAGACATTTTTAATACCTTGTTTAACAATTGTTTTAAATATTGTCAGGAGGGCTTATTTTATGAGATTGATAAATTCTTTAAATTTATATAGTTAAAAAAGAATATATATATATATATATTATAATAATAATAATAATTCTGGATTTATATAGCACCTCACATTGTCACAACCTCGAGGCGCTTAACAACAACAGAGAAGAACATTTGAAAACCCAAAACAAATGTGCAAATGTACCAAAAATGATTATTAAATATTTGGGTTTTTCAATAAACATTATTATTACAATACTTTGGTAATAGGAATCAATTCAAGGCCTGTTACTTTCCTATTCATCCCAAAGCCTTTCATATTCTTTCCCTTTTGCTTCTTGTCTTTCTTCTTTTCCCTTCAAATGTTCCTGATCTTTACTTTTCTTGTCCTTTCTTATGTTTCCTTATCTTTTCTTTCACATTCCTTTCTTAGATTCCTTGTCTTTCCTTTCATTTTCTTTCTTATAATTCCATATCTTTTTTTCATTCTTATAATTCTTATCATTTCTTTTCTTTTCCTTTCTAATGTTTCCATGTCTATCTTTTCTTTTTTTACTCATGTTTCCTTATCTTTCCTTTTCCTTTTTCATCCTTAGTTTATCTTTCCTTTCCTTTTACTTTCTTATATTTCTTATCTTTGTTTCCATTTACCTTCTTATCATTCCAAATATGTCTTATTTTTAGAGGTTTCATGGGAGCTAGGGGTGAAACAATTTCTGAATCAGTTTTTGTGGTGGAGGTTGCACTAACTAACTGGCCAAAAAATAATTGTTTTTAAAATTTGAAATCACCATTACTTGCGGTAGAGGGTTCGCTAATTTATGCAAGGTATAAAAGAATGACTCACCTTCGAGTCAAGATTTTAGTATTTCCCACCAAGCTGCATTCCACTTCCTATTTTATAGTTGTGTTCTGTATATTTGTTTGTTTATTGTTGTACTCTGTTATAGGTTGATGATGCCATATATAAATAATTATACATACGTTATTTAACTTGGATGTTCCTCAAAATGTTTATTTTTTTTTTTTTTTTTGCAGAGAATTGGCCCTTGACAAGATTGATGCATATATTGATCATCTTCTAGCAACTGGAGTTCAAAGTGTTTATAGTAATATTGTGAATTTATTACATAACAATAATGACGATATATTAATAATACAGGTCTCACTTCACTTAAAGACAACTTATTGAAACTGGGGTTTCCATGGTCTTTATATATAATTAGAATAATATTATACCTTTAAAAATACACCTATAGAATAATAAAGGAAAGACATTTGTTAATTTGGGACCACAGAAAAGTGGTCTTTAATTGGAGGTACAGTCATTAATTGGAGGGATCTTTAATTAGAGGGAGACCTACTGGTAATATATTTAGAGTACAGTACCATGATAGTAATATTAGTAATAATCATTTTTAGCTGCGAAGATGAGCTTTAAAAACACTTAGCTGATTGATTAATATATCTTTTTTTAATCTACTGCCTCCATCATACTGCCCTCATGAGGCTGATTGATTAATAGTTGATTGATTAATAGATCTTTTTTAGTTCTACTGCCTCTATTATACTGCCCTCATGAGGCTGATTGATTAATAGATCTTTTTTAGCTCTACTGCCTCTATTATACTGCCCTCATGAGGAGCTCTAGAAACACTCAGCTGATTAATTAATATTTGATTGATAATTAGATCTTTTTTAACTCTACTCCCTCTATTATACTGCCCTCAATGGAGCTTTCGAGATTACGAGAACTTGTTTTGATGTAGTGTAGTAGAAATATAATTGAAATATACACAATTACTTAATAAATTGTGGAGAAAACAGCAATTTAATGCACAACAGGAAACTGTTAATACACGAAGTAAACTATGAACAGCTGAAGCAGATAATTAATTGGGTCATAGTCTGATGGAACAATGAATATGTTTCCTGTCCAACTGCAAATTTGCCTTCAGTAGTATAGGTATGTGCACTTTTAAGTGGTATACACGTATAATTGTCATGCTGTAGGTCCATAGGCTGGTATTGGCTTGTGGGTGCGAAAATTGAGAATGTGGAATGTTGAGCAGCGTAGCTCACTAGTCAGGAGCAGCTTAGCTCAGTCAGGAGAAGCTTAGCTCATCGGCTAATCTGGTGGTAGCCAATGTGTGTACGCTGAACCGTGGAGATCTCTTGGTCCCCGGTTCAATTCCCATTGCTGCTTCTCCTAGTGTTTCAGCTAGAGGGCTGAAATACAAGTTACAATAGCACACCGTCTTTCGGATGAGACGTTTAAGCCGGTTGTCTCGTGTGCATTTATGGCCCATGTGCACGTTAACGAACGCAGTACACTCTTTGGAAAAGAGTAAGTTATTGTCATCCGGTGTACTGCCCAATCACCACCAGAAGGACCCCACTGGAAATAAGTCTTCTAGACTTTTGTGGGCTATCCTTGGTGTTTATACCGAATAAATCCAATCCAATCCAACTTATTGGTCATTTTTAGTATTTTAACCCACTTAGTGGAACTAATTTGTCACTGTATTGGCCCCCCTCCCTTCCCCTCACCCAGCCCATGCCCATGCATAGTTTGATAATAAATCAACATTTATTATCAATTTTTATTGATTTTGAGTGTTAAGCTGAGTCCACACTATCAAATTTTATGTGACAAATTTGTGTGATGTGCCCATATATGGGCATGATGATGTCATACCTGTATTACACCCAAATATGGACATATCACATTTTTTCACTAAATAAAGTTGTATAGTGTGGATAGAATTTTAGTTATCATTTTCATGACATCAACACTAAGTGATTGATTGGTTCATTGATTGATGTATTGAATTTGCAGTTTGTGGCACTACAGGAGAAGGTCCATCGTTGACAATTGAGGAAAGGAAGAAAGTTGCTGGAAAATGGGTTAAAGCTGCAAATGGGAGGTTGGTGTTTTTTTTAAATATGATTGGTAGTTTTTTCAGACTTGTTCTATGTGTTGTCATTTTGTGCAGGTCTATCTGTCTATTTCATGATGTAGTCTATTTAAATGCTAACTAAGTGACAAAGGCTACCAACTAAAATTTAACAGCTATATTTACCAGTATATTGTTAATTGTTTTTTTCTTTACTACAGATTCAAAGCAGTCATTGTACAGGTTGGATCTGGTAATCTTAAGGAAGTTGAAGAATTAGTAAGTCGACATATCATTTTTGCACTTAATAGATAGAGTTTAATTTCAGGCTTTGCATATTAAACAGTAACAGTTTGTACCATCAAATCTGTTTCATAATGAAGGGGCAGGAAGGCCTTTTACTAACAGTTCTTCCAGCCTTCCTTGGGGGCTGGGGTTGCATAGGCAGGGGTGGTTCCCTGTCCACCCCTGACATTTTTGACATTTAAATGACATACTTTAATATTATGAACACACTCTGCTCCTTTATGGACCTTGTTGGGCAATTGTGCCCACCAGCATTAAGTGACAATTTTTTGTATTTGCTGTTTTGGCTGGGATAAATAAATGAATAAATAAATAAAAGATTAATACACCACTGCAACTTCCTTCCAAAGTATAAATATTTACTAAATGTATTACTCCTCAGGCATGTACAGTAAGATTAGCATTGGCAAGTAAATTTTATATGAAAAAAAAGAATAAGCCATCTAATTTTTTTTTTTCAAGGCCCGTCATGCCGTTTCCATTGGTGCAGATGCAATATCTACTATTCCTACAATTTTTTTCAAGCCAGCTAATCCAGGTAAGTTGAGAAAAGAGTTTAACATGTTCGCTGCCATTGATGTGAGTGCAAGTCCAACAGGGTTCAAACAAGGGTGGGAGTTCATGTCCACACATGTCCAAACATATTCTGTTGTATTCCATTAAACTAGGGAAGAACCCAGAAGTAATGATCTAACAATATATACTGTATGTTTGTTTATGTTTCATTACAGTTGATGGGAATGATTTATACCTTTATACCTTTGGTGTATGGAATGAAACTAGGCAAAAAGACTTGGTAGTCAACATATTAAGGAGAAATCAGAATTGCAGAGGGTTGGATTTTTTTGGTATGAAATACACCAAGTATAACCCCCAAAAATGGATTAAATTTTAAAGTCAAGTGTGTGGGGTCAAGTAGGGTCATTAATTTGGTGATGAATTTGTGAGTTCACTGGTGGACAATCCCCTGAGAAATGCATACTTCATTCTTTAACAAACACATGCAACAAATAGTTATAAAATATTGGTGGCTTTTGTTTTTACCATAATTATTTACTTTCTATGCAGGAGTTATAGCTGAATTTCTACAGCGAGTTAGCAATGCGGCTCCCACAATCCCTCTGTATTACTACCACAACCCAACCATGTCCGGTGTTAATTGTAAGTACACTCAGTTTTATCCTCAACTCAAGGGTGTGGGCACATACTGGTATATAACTTGTTAGATTACACCAGGGCTTGTGATTTAAGACAAGCAATTGCACTCCCACACCCCCGGGAGGCTACTCACCGTGACCTCGGAAACACATGCGTGTGACCAAAATCGTAAAAAGGGTCTTTCCCTAAACAGGCATGTAACGTTTTTTAAGGTCTGGAAAATGCTAAAATTGCTAAAATAAAGATATGTTATTAAGGGCATTAAGAACGTGTTTAGGGTCTGCGTCACCGTGTGTCAGAGAGTGTCGGCCAATCCCGGCTGACGCAGTGCAGACTGGAACCAGACCAGCATCGCGTCAGCAACTGGGTGTCTCACCGGGCGTCTCACACACAGTGCAACAAATTAATCAGGGCGCACAATTCAGCAATTTTTTTCCCCTCCTACTAAAGTCGGTTTATTCCCAATACTTATTTTGTGGTAAGATTTTAATATATTACGTGAAAAAGGGTGCTTTTTCTCTATATGCAAAACGTGTTTAGGCCCTTTTTTTTAAGCATGGTCACACACATGGGTACCTAGATCTAGATTGAGTGCCCCCAGCCCACACAATCACTTACCTAAACTCTCTTCAGGAGTGCAAAATAGAGCACCTTTGGTTTTGAAAATCCCTCACCTTAAATCTAGTTAAAACTCCAAATCACAATGCTTTCTACTAAGATGTAATTTTGTGTTGGTTTGAACAATAACACTACTTTGATATGGCAGTAGTATTTATGTGTATATATACTAACTATTCCACAGAAGCCTAAATATCCCCCTCCCCGAATAATCACTCGCCTAAACAAAATTAGGTGGGTTTTTTTAGCTCATTTTCTATATTCATTTCTATATAATAACAATTATCCCTGATTGGATATTTTAGTAGTAGAGTTACCTCAAACTTGCACAATATCTGATATACTTGTTCACAATTATTTCATTCTTTCTATTTGTTAGAAAATGAAAAAGCAGTGATATACTATAGGCCCACCATAATCTAATATATTTATCTATAATTTACTTTCTAAATGTATTGCTGCTGTCTCTTATACACATTGTACTGCCCAATCACCACCAGAAGGACCCCACTGGAAATAAGTCTTCTGGACTTTTGTGGGCTATCCTTGGTGTTTATACCGAATAAATCCAATCCAATCCAACTTATTGGTCATTTTTAGTATTTTAACCCACTTTAATAGTGGAACTAATTTGTCACTGTATTGGCCCCCCTCCCTTCCCCTCACCCAGCCCAAGCCCATGCATAGTTTGATAATAAATCAACATTTATTATCAATTTTTATTGATTTTGAGTGTTAAGCTGAGTCCACACTATCAAATTTTATGTGACAAATTTGTGTGATGTGCCCATATATGGGCATGATGATGTCATATTACACCCAAATATGGACATATCACATTTTTTCGCTACATAAAGTTGTATAGTGTGGATAGAATGATATTTTCCGTTGCTGTATTGACGCTTGTGAAATATAATATTTCATAGGAATTATTTCAAATTTGTTAAAAAACTGATTCTGACTGAGATTTTGACACTTAAACAAACATATCTCAGCCTAACCGAACGACCGCATTGTGCGACTTGTGCGAGATGCGAAGTACAAAAAGTTATCTCATTAGAGAGGGCGCACTTTATTGACTGTATTATACATAAAAGCGAGAGTATTCCAGTGGATGCGATCTACAACCTCTGAATTTGCCTAGTAACGATGAATTCGTCCAGAAAATGGTAATATTTTATGAGAAATAGTCTGTATTTCTCATTTTTTTTATTCTTTTGCGTAAACTAAAATTCATGCCAATATTTTTCCATGATTTGTAATAATTAGAGTAATGCAAATGAATATTTTCTAAAAAAAAGTCAGTTTTTAGTGAAATTTTGCCAGGAATGGGGCTTTAATAATAATAATAATACCTATACATATTGCACCAACTCCAAGCCAATAATGCAAACTAGCGCAAAGTGTAAGATCCACTGATCCCTGTGGAGTATACCTACCGGTAGTTCTGCATACTCAGCTCAGGTAAAGATGTGTAGAGGGCATACAGTTTTCATATCATCACCACCATCATCATCATTCCCATCAACAGAATGTATAAAATACAGCTACAATATAAAATGCTATGTTAATCACTACCATTAACAGTGTCAAAATGAAGTCCAGGTGTTTATCTTTTCTTTATGTATGGATACTTTACTTTACATCTGCATTTTGTGATCTCTTTGTCTTAATCTGTATCATGCAGGCCTACAGTAGTACAGTTTGTTCTGCATCGTATATTATCTGCATAATTCTAACTTTTTCATGCTTTGAATGGTTCTTAAACTTTTCTCACATAACTTTGATCACCAGATGTGTCATGATACAGTTCATTTCCATTAACTTAAGCTTGAAATGTCCAATTTCAATGAATGATCCCTTATTTTAAAGATTAGTTTCTCAGGTATCTGAAAATACCAATAACTTGAATTTCAATTTTTGCTACAACTTAGCCATTTTGCCACAACATGCCTCATGTATGTATATATATATATGTATATGTATATGTATATATATATATATATATCAATGTTGTATGATGTTTCATCAGAGGAGTATTAATCCAACCCTCCTGGTGCTGATATAAAGAATTGTGACTGTGCTGATAGCCATCTTTCAATGTACATACTCTGAGTGCTTCATTTCATTTTTCCTCTCCAATTACATTTCAGTTTCCATGGAGAGTATCATGAAATTGTGCGGTGGGATTAAGACTTTACGTGGCGCTAAGTTCACCTCCGCTAGTCTGTATGATTTAAGTCGTTGCATTTGCACATGCTCAGATAACTTTCAATTTCTGTACGCGGTGGATGAGGTATGTCATGATATTCTGCTTGTAGCTTTTCATCTTCATCTGTATCATTCACAACATTATTATCATTTTCCTTTGCATTTTTTATGGGGTAATTGCATTTTTGTTTCAAAAAAAGAAATCCTAAAACATTCAGTCTCATCAATTGTTCTATATTGTTTTTTCTGAAAAACTAATTCAATTCAATCCAATTCTTTTATTTCCAAGAATTAATATCCATATAATACATAAAAAAAAAAAAAACAAGACAAGAGAAAAATGATAATATGGTCATAAATATAACTATTTTATGATAATATGATCATAAATATAACTATTTTATATGAAGTCTATCAAACTGTGGTATACCCATATACTTTATAGTCACGATGTGCCTATATATGGTCATGATGTGATGTCATCATTACCATATTTAGGCATGTCACATGTTTTTGTCAAAAAAAAAACTTGATAGAGACAATCCAATAATAATAATAACTATTAGCTCTGTACACACTCAAGTTTTGTTTGACAAAAATATGTTATTTGCTCACAATGATATGATACTAAACCAGTTTAAACAGTTTAGATTTAGTATTGGTTTATTGTAACTAAAACAAAGGAAAATAGACTTAAAGCCACATTCCCGGAAAATTTCAATAAAAAAGAATTTTTTTATAAAAAAATGCATATGCATTACTCTAATTATTATAAACAATGGACAAATATTGGCATAAATTTTATTTTTTTACGCAAAAGAATTAAAAAAAATGAGAAATACAGACTTGGAGATTACCATTTTCTAGACAAATACTTTGTTACTAGGACGGCAAATACAGAGGTAGATCGCATCCGCTGGAATACTCTCACTTTTATGTATACTTTAAACAGTCAATAAAATGCGCCCTCTCTAATGAAATTAGTTTTTTGTACTTCACATCTCACACACTGCGATCAATTGACTAGGCTTGATAGATGTTTGTTTAATTGTCAAAATCTTCGTCAGAATCATTTTTTTAACAGATTTGAAATAATTCTTATGAAATATTATGTTTCAAAAGTGTCAATACTAGCAACGGAAAATATCATGTCGGCCATTTTTATGTGTGATAACAGAACCTAAATCGAGGTAAGGCTAGGCCTAGCCTAGCAGTGTTAGATAGGGTAATGTTTCCGGCGCCTGCTATACAGTATTTCATCCACATTTATTTTTTGTGTGGAACACAAAAAAATCAAATTTCAGTCTTATTTTACATTTTTTTCATGATTAGGAATATCGAAATTCAGTTAAACTAGCAATTTCGTATTATATTTATAAATCTTTATAAAATATAGAAAAATCAGATTTTTCTTAACAACGGAAATTTTTGCTGGGAATGTGGGCTTTAATATTTTATCATATCTATATCAATGTTTATTGTTATGTTTTTGTTTTGGCCATTGAGACAACAAAACACTCTGTACCATGTAATACAACTTTAACGGTAACTGATAATTTAAGGAGTAGTTGCCAAAGCTGAAACTAAAAGTACAACTATCAAAGTGAAAGAGAAATGACAATCTAAACATCCTTAAAATCTGTTATTTAAAAGTAACTTTCATAACATTTGGTGTAGGACCTCTATGGAAACCAGCCCTTGGACTTATAGAGATCCCCTGCTCTCCATTTTCAAATTCCTTATATTTGTTACTGTGCTTTTTATTTTTTGGGAACAATTATTTTTTATAATGCAAAGTGTAGTGTTCTTTTCTTTACTTGATTTTACTGTTTATAGTTAAATAATAAAAGCAAAGTATAAACAAATAAAAAAATATTTTCCCGATTTCTTTGATATCATTTGTTAAAAGTAATTGTTATTGTCGTGATGGAATAGATAATAACTGGATTTGCATCAGGAGAAACATGTATAGGTGTAATTTTGCCCTACCCGACGTGGAAATGTACTGAATACTCAGTATGTTTGAAAACAATTGCGAAAAAAATCGCAAGATCTCAGGTCGGGCTCGAACCCATGATCTCCAGATCACTAGCCTGGCATCATAACTTGTGAGCTTGTGCCTGATGGCATGATGCCAGGCTAGTGATCTGGAGATCTTCGAGTCCCACCCGAGAACAACTTGCGATTTTTTTCGCAATTGTTTTCAAACGTACTGAGTATTCAGTACATTTCCACGTCAGGTAGGGCAAAATTACACCTATATATCATTTGTTACTTCTTTTTTTATTTGCATATTTCAGCAACTGCTGCCATCACTTACTCTAGGAATTAAAGGCTGTGTTGGCAGGTAAGTTTCAGCATAAGTATCCTGGGGGGTAAGGGGGTCTATTTGCCCTCTCACTTTCTTACATAACTGCCAATTCCAATTTTATTCTCCTCCAATTCTTAAAAATTGGGAAACCACCCTCATGATGATACTTATTCTGCTTCTTTATTCTTCTTTCTTTATTTACCTTTTTCAAAAAGAATACAAAGTTTTATAAGTATGTGAAAACATGTGATAATAGGCAAATCAGGAAACCAAAAAATAGCGTAAAAGTCTGGTTTCACGTATATAAATAAATAATTGTGATTCGTAAAAAATAAAGGCTTACACTAATATACTTACATTTTCATATTGAAGAAATACGTACATTATACAAAATTGCAATATTTTACTTATGTGCCTGATGAATAATACTAGACTTATGTTTTTGTAGTCCTTATACATATATCCTTACACTTGGGTCAGAGTGTTAAAATTCTTTGCAAATTTTTTAGATAACAATTTAATGTTTTCACTGTGTTTATAAAAAAAAAATTGTATCACTTTAAGCTCAGTTTTTATGATGAATAAACATTTTATTCTGTTTGAAGAACTTGTCATGAGTTTACAATTTTGATTGACATTCATAAAGAAATAATAATTTCTTCAAGCATTTAAGAGAATACAGGACCATAAATGCCCGAATAGGCGCCGCGAGGCTTATAACATTTCTTGCGGCGCTTATTCGAGAACGGCACTAATTTGAGAGCGGCGCTAATAAAATAAATATTGCCGTGGCGTTTTCCTTGTTACCGATCTCACGTATTCCCGTAGTTCAGTAGGCCTATCATACGTCCTACGTCATCGTAAATAAACGTTTATCCTATTCGGGCACTTATGGTCATCCAAAAGCTGGAATGAACTTCCAAATGAACTAAAAATTAACTTTAAAGAAATGTCAATTCATACATTTAAAAATTTCCTTATTACACAAGATTTGCATTGAATTTTCTCTATGACTGATTTTTGTTTTTATGTTTGTTTATATTTTTTATTTATAAATTTGATTCCTTTTATAGTATCCTGTTTTTAAGATATCTACTGTACCACTTTGAAAATCAGTGCACTAGTACTGAAAGTGCCTGCAGTATAAAGAAAGAATAAATAAATAAAATAAATAAATAATAAAAAAAATATTGCCGTGGCGTTTCCCTTGTTACCTATCTCACGTATTCCCGTAGTTCAGTAGGCCTATCATACGTCCTACGTCATCGTAAATAAACGTCTATGAAGAAATGCTTAGTGTCTTCATTGTGTTATTTATTCATTTTACACTGTATACCTTGTATTTAAAACCCTGTTTCTCAAAGTGTTTCATTTCCACACAGGGCAATAATATACACTTGATTAAGCAGCGCGGCAGTTAGCGAAAAAATAAGGTTTGGTGCGGCGCTTATTCGAGCATTTACGGGAATCACATTTTTGTTCAATGCAGACAGGTAAACTCGTGTAATGATTTCATCTGCAGGCTTACGAATCAATCTGTATAGGCCTCGGCCTGCTGCCTACATGTAAATTTGTTTCTGGCATCGGGTCTAGATTGGCCTCAAATATTCTTATTAAATGTTCAGTTTCTTTGTATGTTCAGTGTAGGAAGTTCCATTGATTCAAGGAATCCTTTAATTTTTCATACATAATATTGAATTTGAAGTGACATTCTTCAGGGTCTGGTGTACTTTGTTTTACTAATGTCATTTTTTTCAATTACCACTTGTCAACAATCCACGATTGGGTGAGTGTTTGTCCTATCTTTCTGCAGACGTGCGTCATATTGCTAGTTGAAAAAATACTAGCCTAGAATTCATCGCAGTGCACGATGTGGCGATACATCAGGCTGATTGGCCTTTAAGTTTGCACACAAACCGAAAAAAGATCAAGCAAACCGTGCATTAATAAATAGGAAACTGTTGGGGATAGGAAAATAACACTGGGAGTTAAGTGTCACGATTGACTTATGTTAAAATTGGTGTATTAAATTTTAAAATTGCAATATGGCTGAGAAAATTAATATCCTTGATTGAAATCTTATATTTTCAGTACCTATAACTATTTGGGAAATGTGGCAAATAGATTGATTAAAGCATATGACAACGGTAAAATGGACTTGGCCCGCAAGGAACAGGTAACTTTATTATTTTACCTAATACATCGCATAATTTGATAATAAATGTAATATTTTAATAATCCATTTATTCATAAGTTTGTTTTTTTTTTGCTTATTTCTCTTTGTATTATGATATTTGCCTAAACATAGGAATTAATCGTAATAAATATACAGTAAACCCCTATTAAGGGGACACTTCTATTAAGGGACACTCCTAAGGTGACTCCTTTTCGGCTATCTTTTTACACTATGGCCAACCCCTATTCAATGGACACCCATTTTAAGGGAACACTTTTTGATCCTATTGTCCACTTAATAATAGTTCTACTGTAGTAGATTATTAATAGATCTAATAGGTGATATAGAAAATTTGTTCTTATCTCCTCCACAAAGAATTACTCACAAAGTGTGTATGTGTGGTTCTCGACCATAGTTTAAAATAGTAGACAAGAGTAGTTTATCATGGTTGTTTAAATGAGGCATGTCGTGGCAAAATGGTTAAGTTATCGCACAGTCCAGTATTGTGTAAATGAGCTATAAAATTGCCTATAAAAAATCCAAATTTGTTTTTCACTATAGATCAACAGTTTAATGTCTTATTAATCATGTTTCAATTTTTGCTACAACTAGCCATTTTGCCACAACATGCCTCAAATAGTGCTATTCTATCGATCAGTGAGCTATTAAAATCACTGATGGTATTTGTTAATAGGTATCTCCTAGCCATAATAGATTTATAATAGATTTTGCTATAGTGGGCATCTATTTGTGGTAGACCCTAGTAGGTGGTAGTATTGGTAGCTTCTTACCTGCCAATAAACTACCACCAATCTATTTAAAATTCCCAATATCTAGGTTAGTAACAGATAGCTAATAGGTGTTCACTAATACACTGGTTCCCAACTTGGAGTCTGCAAAAAGGACTCCCATCAAATCAAAATGGTCCACAGGGAGACTGCAAAAATGTTGGGAAGTCTGCTAGACTTTTAGACAATGTTTTTTCCATTATTTTCTCATCTTTACTGCTAATCATAGGAGACCACCTTAATAAATATGAAATAGCTTTGATGTTTTACTTTTGTGGCTTTGTTTTTGTGTGAATGTAGGACATAAACCACCCAGGACATAAACCACCCGGACGAAAACCACCCAAACTGGAATATACCATTGTGAAAATAGGGTGGGCAGTGGGGTGGACAATGTTGGGTGGGCCTGTTTTTATCACCTTCACAATAGGATAGATCACACTGTGACTATGACCTATTATACGCCTTTAATTCATTCAACACTTTTGACACCAGGCATATATGTTAATAATCATTGTAGATTTTTCTGATTTGGTAATGGTAATGGTTTGGGACTTGTAAAGCGCATACTACATGGTCTCTATGTGCTTAAGTTACACGAAAGAAAACAAACCAAAAACTAAATCCTAAAGTCTAACCAAGCGACCTAAAGAATCAAAAAAAAAAAAAAAAAAAAAAGAAAAAGCATGAGAAAACAGACTACCGCAGGGGAACCAGCATCACCGCACCGTTTTCCTACAATTTGAGACCACAGGCAAGCAGTGGTTTGCGGGATCATAACTCACAGATGCTCAATGCTATACAATGTTTTGTGATGTTATACAATGCTGTTATACTAGTGTTAAAACATAGCATGTTCAGTGCCAACCATGACTTGACATCATTTGAACATGCTTCCATAGATCGGATTGCATCGTCAAGTGACTCAGGCTTAAATGCTATGTACAGTTGGGTGTCATCTGCATACATGTGATTTCAGTGGTATTCATTTCAGTAATCACTGTGCTTAAAGTTTGTATTTTGCTAATGATTTTAACACAACAATTTTTATTTTTCTAATGATTTTAACACAACAATTAACTTCAAAGTTTAATGGAATTTAAAATACATCTAATAATATTAATAGTTTGAATCTAAAAAGTCATATTTTTTTTAGAAAAGTTTTAATACATTAATAACATTTTTTTCTCTCTCTTGGTATGGTGCACATCTGGTATCAGACGTTCTTCATTTCTCTTTTGGGGTCCTAAATTATGGGCTAATATCCTGATGACCTAAAAAATAAATTTACATTGAATCGTTTTAAATATCATTTTAAGAAGTCTTTGGTCTCGGTGTACGGTAATTAATTAATTATCTTGTTTCTTTTCTTGCTCTTAATTAATTATCTTTTTTTCTTTTCTTGCTCTCATTTCTATTTGAGTCTTGAAATAATGTGTCTGGTCTTGTGTTCAAAACTGGATTGGAATTATTATAATTAATTATTATTAGAATTATATTGGTATATCATTCTGTTATTACATTAGTTTAAATACCGGTACCGGTCACTTTTCCAACTGTTTTGTTAAAGGTGGCTACGTCTTAAAGCTCTACTAGAACTTACTGTAGCCTCCTTCCATACAATGTATTTGTTTTAATTTGTATAGTTATTTACTGTGTTACTGTATTGTATGGAAAATAAATGCATATTTGATTTGATTTGATTTGATGGTATTTGTCTAATATTATAGTATTCACAAGGACTTGTCCCTACTTCCTTTAAATATGATTTAATAATAATAATAATAATAATAATAATAATAATAATAATAATAATAATAATAATAATAATGATAATAATAATAATTTGAATGTAAACAGTCATACGATGTCATATCCAATAATGAATGTGGGTTTAGATTATTACTATTTTATATTTTATCTGTTTTAATTGAATTGTCACTCTGTGTAATTGATATTTGTGAATATTGTGGGAAAATATGGTGAGTTCATGATATTAAGTTAATTATCAATGCTTATTATCATTATTCTATTCATTTTTGTTGAAATAATGATTAGGTGAGGGGCCTCCCAAAATAGGGTGGTAGGTGATTTTTATCTACTTGAGCATGATCATTTTGCTTGGGGGGGGGGGGTGTTTGATATTAAAGTTTACAGTTTGACAGTTACCCAATCATCCTTCACTTCATTTTATATAGTCATTTTTCCCCCACGACTTTATATAGTCATTACACCCCAAGATGCTCCACTGAATAAGAGTTGCTTCTGAAGGGTTGAAATCTTGCTATTTGAGCTATGTATTTAATAACCCAGCAAACAGAAAACATTCGTCATTACTTTCGCAAAAATTATGGTTCGGTATGTCACAAAATATAATTCACACAACGTTGTAAGAACGTTCAAACGTTGTGACGTGAAATTAGATTATAAATACGTACATATGGTTCAACAGAATAACGTTTTTATCACCAAACTGTAACGTTATAACGTTCTTATAATATAATATTGTTAGCTGGGAATACCTTTTGTTAATTTTATTTTGTAATTTACACGTCAAAGAACAACCTTTAAAGATAAGTAATCATTTTTACTTGGTATATTTTACAGGAGGGAATGTTGCCATTAACAAAGTGGTTGCAAACTTGTCTGGACTGGATCTTGGACCATCTCGCCATCCATTGGTGCAGCCTACTGAAAACACCATTAAACAGATTAAGTCTGACTTAGAAAATGTTGGTTTTTTTGAGTTTATTAAGTAATTTAAAAAGCATGACTTAACCAATTTAATCGGGAAAAAAATTATTTGATATCGCATTGCACAAACAGTAGCATGTTTAACCAAATCAGAGAAATGCTATCCTTAAATTTAAATACATATTTTAATATTTATTAAGATAATATACTGCCTGTCTTGAGGTAGATATTAGCTTTCAAATAGAAATTAAACTGAGATGTACAGGTCATCCTCTAATTCAAGAACACTCTAATTAAAACCACCTCCATTTAAAGACCACTTTTATGTGGTCTTTTATCTTTATTATTCTAATTAGAGACAAAAGCTGCTAAAGACCATGGAAACCCTGGTCCCAAAAGTGGTCCTTATTTGGAGGGAGACCTGTATTTTCCTCACCAATTCAATGATGAATAAATACTAATTCCCATTCTTTGGGTAGACCTTTTAAAAATATGCTTTTTGCCAAAAAAAAAGAATCAGAAATAAAAATTAGATCATTTAAGAGAAACAAATACAAATCTAAATAACTTCCAAGCAAAAAAAAAAAAGATTTTAAAAAATTAGTTGATTTTTTTATTTTATTTACTGAAGTTTTTCTGCAAAACCTTTAAATTTATTGCCAGTTTAAGAGTTAATGCAAAGGTTAATGTGGTGGTTTTTCAATATTTTTCATGCCTGTGTATATAAATTACTATATAAAATAACATTTTTTTAAATTTATAAGCCTAGATGTAAACAGGAAATAGAACGATTTCCAATACGAATATTTTGCGAGAATACTTGCACTAGCGTTTGTTAATCGCCCAGTCTTGACATCTCACTAATTACGCCACGGATTAACGTACACCCAGTGTTAGATATATAGCGGCAGTTTGGCGCAGCGGTTGATGTTTGGGCTTTCAATCATAAGGTCAGAGTTTAGAGTCTCCGCTGTGCAGATTCGCTTGTGTCCTTGGGCAAGGCAGTTTAGCTACATTGCTAGTCCACTAGCTGTATCAATGGGTACCAGCAAACTGCTGGGAACTAACCTACGACAGACTAGTTTCCCGTCCAGGGGGAGTACAACTCTCATCCCCTTCACACTACAAAAACTGGGGATAAGCTCCAGCCCTATGAGCCCCAGTGGCTCGGAAAGGATTTAGTAGTTTAGTTAGTGTTAGATATGCTTGACATATCTCTCAGGTCTGAACATAGCCAAAATAAGCATAGATGTAAACAGGAAATAAAACGTACGAATACGAATATTTTGTTAATCGTTCTTCGTGATTTCCGCTTGCAAATTCTGTAACGCAGTGTACGGTGCCCTCTTGCAAAAGTGAAAAACTTTTGAACTTTGATCATAGCATACACCACACGGCTTTATATTTACGCGTAACAATTTAAAATGCAACGCTGAGGGCCACAAATCAAAATTCTGTAGAAAAAGCATACAACACTGAAAAGATGGCGAGGAAGATAATGCCGAATTGACACTAAGTAGAAGTGACGAATCTTTCCACTTACAAATGCTATTTAACATAAACACTGAAGAAAATACTACGAATGATATCCTTAGTGAAAATTGTTTTGTTTTTGAAAGCAACAAAGGTTTGAGTGTAATGGGTCTCAATATTGTTACACTTACAGGTAAATTTGACAATTTCAAACATTTAATTGAGAATAATTCGATTGATGTAATTGTATTGAATGAAACAAGGCTTGATAATACCATAAGTGATCGTGATGTCAACATTAATGAATATGATATATATAGAAAAGATCGAAACAGGGAAGGAGGAGGAGTAGCTATGTATATAAATTGTAATGGTGGATTCACACATAATTTAAGGAATGACCTCATGGATTCAGAATTAAAGATGATTGTGGAAATTAGACGGCCAAATACTAAACCAATCCTCGTACTTGCATGGTATCGTCCCCCAAACTCAGAGATGAGTGTTTTTGATAAGGTCAGTAATGTTCTTGAAAAAATTGAGAGTATCAATTATGAAATTATTATGATTGGTGACCTAAATTGGGACCCCATGTCACCAAACAAGACATGCTACACTACAAGAATGATTGATTTAGCTAATAGTTTCCATCTCCATCAATTATTTTCTGAACCGACAAGAGTGACACAAAACAGTAGGACCCTTATAGATCATATTTACACGTCAACTCCTAACAAAATTAATAATTCAGGTGTTCTTCATACTGGTATCAGTGATCACTCCGCAGTTTTCGTAATTCTTGGTAGGGAGAAGAAAGTAAATCGTAAACACAAATTCAAAACATGTAGAAATTACAAACATTTTGATGTACATAAGTTTAAACAGGATATGCAAAATCTAAACTGGCAAGAACTTAAAGCTTGTAGTAATGTTGATGATGCGGTAGACTACTTTGAAATCCAGTTTTTAAAAGTAGCAAATAGACATGCCCCCCCCTTAAGAAGAAGAGAGTTCGTCATCAAAGCAGCCCATGGCTAACAGATAAGTTAATCAATTTGATGCGTGAGCGTGACATGCAAAAGAAAAAAGCACATAAACATAATCTTCCTGAAAACTGGTCGAAATATCGCTCACTAAAAAACAAAGTCAATGCTAAAATAAAAAAGTGCAAAATGGATTACTTTTCTGAGAACTTAAATACTAATGACACTAAAAAAATCTGGAAAACCATTAAACACATTGTACCTTCCAAAAGTAAAAATACTGAAATTCAAACTTTGCACATTAATGAAAATGAGCAAACATCTGATCATACCAAAATTGCTAATACCTGTACTCTGAATGAATTTTTTTCCAAAGTAGGTCCTAATCTTGCTAAACACTTTCCTGAATGTGAGCCATTAGATGAAACTAATGACAACATACATGTAGATTACAAAGACAAATTCTTTTTTAATTATGTTGATGAAGAATATATTTTAAAACAACTCAGTTTACTCTCTCCAAATAAAGCAACAGGGAGCGATAAACTGCCCACCAAATTAGCCAAGGCTGCTGTAAATTCAATTGTAGGTCCACTTACATACATTGTAAACCTATCTCTATCTAGAGGCCAATTCCCACTTAAATGGAAAAAGAATTTGCCCTGTATTTAAAGGTGGCGATAGGTCTAAGGCAAATAACTACAGACCAATATCAATTTTGCCTGTTTTGTCGAAGGTACTTGAAAGGGCAGTGTTTGATCAAGTGTACCAAGTTATTAATCAAAATGACATGATCTATGTTTCCCAGTCAGGTTTCCGACCAAATCATTCAACTATGACCTCATTAATTAATGTCACAGAAGACTGGATAAATGCTATTGACCGTGGGCAATATACAGGTCTAGTAATGCTAGACCTTAAAAAAGCATTTGACAAACTCAAAACATTTAAGCTTGATCAAGGTGTTATCAAATGGTTTGAAAATTATTTAAGTGACCGTTCACATTCAACTCATGTAAATGGGGTACAATCGAATGATTGTAAAAGTGTTCACGGAATACCCCAAGGTTCTATCTTGAGGCCGCTATTATTTATGTTACATGTGAATGATTTGCCCAAAAGTGTTCTTAATGTCAAAATAAGTATGTATGCCGATGACACAATAGTTTATTATTCATCTGCAGATATTCAGTCTCATTGAGACCCTCAATACAGACCTTGAACGTATCAGAAAATGGCTAATTAACAATAAGCTTACATTGAATGTAAACAAAACTGAGTGTATGTTTATTGGTACACAACAAAAACTTTCAAAGCTTTCAAAGGTTGATCTCAATTTACATATTGAGAATACTTGTTTGAAGAGAGTTGAAAACTGTAAACACCTTGGTGTATATATTGATGAGAACTTGTCATGGAACAAGCAGATTGAAAATGTAAAAAGTAAAGTTCTACCGGGTCTGTACTACCTAAAGAAGACTTCTGGATTTCTATCACAAGACCAGCAATCTCTCATGTATAAAGCAATCATTGCCCCACACTTTGACTACTGTAATGTGGTGTGGGGTAGATCCTATCAAAACCTAAAATATAAATTACAAGTTCTACAAAACAGAGCTGCAAAAATAATTTTAAAAAAGAAGAGAGATGAGTCAAGTACACAAGCCCTGCAGAACTTAAAATGGGAAAATCTTGAAACTAAATTGTATCATTGTGAAGCTGTCACTATGTACAAGATTTTCCATAATCTAGCACCATCTTATCTGACTAAGCACTTTGCACTCAAAAGAAAAAATGTACAATACACGATCCAGTGATGTACTTGAGGTAAAAAAAAACCCAACACTACCTCTAAGGAGAAAAGTTTCAGTCACCATGGTGCTAAGTTATGGAACAATCTTACAGATGATGTAAGAACTGCACCAAATGTCAGAACCTTCAAAAAGCTTTTGTAAACTAAAATTAACAAGTGTTACTAGTGCTTGTTCTTTGTAAATTGTGTGTTTTACAGTACCTGTATTCTTTTCCCTAATATCATTTTTTATATTGTTATAATGGCATCACGGCCTTGTTGAAAAACACCGGTTGGGTGATACAAGCTTCCGTGTGTAAATAAAGATTTTATTATTATTATTATTAAAAGCGTTGACTACAATATTTTTTTAGAACAATTAACGTACATGGTACGGCACGGTACATGGCGCTCTACTGCATTTGACACTAGCTCGCTGCTCACCAGGCTAGGCTAAGCTGCTGAAAGTCCCCAGTGAGCTGCAAGACATTGGCGGCGCTGTTTCAAAATAAACCCGATGATACATATTGAAACCATTGAATATTTAAAATTTATTTTTTCTTTTTCCTAAGGAATCTATTCTTCCGCGTTTCTGGAGATGAACACAGAAAGTTTGAAATATTGCATCTTTTATTTTTCTGAGTTTGTTTCGTACTATGTTATAGATTTCTTGTTTTACAAATAATTATATCAATTGATTCTCATTTAATTAAACAATGATTGTTGAAATTTGTCTGTATTGAAGCTTTAAACAAAGCAGCAGTTGGAACACTCTCAACTTCAAATATATATGTTACACTGCCCTCTGTTTAGTAAATATAAAGTAGTTCCAGTACTTAACACTATATTCTCGAAAAGCAGTCCACTATCAATATCTGGGGTCCTAATTCCAGCAAAGGCAGCGTCAGTGGGTGTGCCACATGGGCGGACTGAGAGAAAAGTCTGGGTAGAAGCCATACCGTCGATGTGAGAAGTACAGATCTTTCTCTACTTTCTTTTTTTCTTTTTTTTTTTTCTCTTCTTTTGGGGCCCTAGAATAGAGTAATGAATGAATTCAGGGTGCAGGTTACTGTATGGATTGAGATATGATGTAAACAAAAAAAAATCCCATATTAAAAGTCAAAGTTGACAATACAGTATATTGGCTTATAGTATAATCTACAAAGTAACACATGCATTAGGCCAATATACCAGTGTCTATTCTATAGTTTCTGGAAAAATTCTGGTTTGATGTTAAGTTTATTGCTCAAATGGTGTCAAAAAATAAGCTTGAATGAAGAATTTTTATGTTGAGACTACTGTCATTGTGTTAAATAACACCGGGTAAATAGTTCTAAAAAGCTGTTGTTTTTGTTGATAAAGTTTCGACGTTCCGATTAAATTAATTCAGTCGTGTTCAGTTGAATAATGTCTGCAGAGTTCAAACAGGGAAATAATGTATACGATTTCTACTTGTATGTAAGATGGTAAGATCCACTTTCTAATCATACAGTGGGACTCTGCAGATAATTATTCAACTGAAGAGGTTGAAGCAACTCAATCGAAACGTCGAGCAACGGCGGTGGAACGTTTTTTGAAAGTGGGGGTGCCATTTCATAAGATGCAGTATGCAAGTGAAGCGAGCATCTAGGTTAGGGGCCAGGAGGCCGCCAAGGGCCCCACTGGAAGCTATGGATATTTCCAGTAAGTTTGGTGAATTTTATTAGTTATCTTTTTATAGGCATCAAGCTACTGTAATATGACTTCATAATTGTTTTAATTTCCAGTGGCGGATTTAAGAATTCAAAATAGAGGGCCTGGGGATTTTCACAAATAGAAGATCTATGCTACCACCGCCCTACCATGGTTGGAGCTGAGGTAAGAAAATTTGTGATTATGGCACCTCTAGATGGCCGGAAATTGTACTTCCAGACAAAATTTGAATATTTGTTTCTTTGTATCTCCATTTTTCTTTTTAATTGAACAATTTAGGGGAAGGGGCGGACCGGCTGGGCCCCGTGAATCCACCACTGGGTACTTTCGCAGATGGAGGATCTATACCATACCCCAGCCCCACCATGGTAATAATATTATAGTGTCCCCTTAATAGGGGTTCAATTATGTATTAATATGTCCAATTGCCATGCTCAGAAAGTTTCGCCGTCTCATTCATATAGGTGTCCCCTTAATTTAAAAAAGAAAACATCAAAATTAACATAGTATTGCACTGAATTGCGTCAATTGCACAATAAAACTGCAATACTATAAAGAGAAAAATTTAACAAACAAGAGAAAAATACCAACACTAATTTAAACTTTTACAAACATTCACAGTGAATAAAAAGGGACATGTCATTACTGTTAATTTTTAAAATTACTGCAACAATTGCGAAATAAAGATTCAATATAAAAATTCTAACTCAATCATGAAATTACTAGATTCATAATTGTAAATGTAATAATTTTTACAATTATAAAATTGCTTGATTCATTTACACAAAATTGCAATTTAACAGGAGAATGTCTTATTAAGAGGGCCTAGGCATTCATAATTCATTTTATTTATTTCGTTTCAGTAAAATACATAAAAAACAACAACTGGTTACAATACAACAAAATAAAAGCATAAAAAATCTGAAACAGGACGAGACAGGATTCCTAAAAGTGAACCAAATCACTATCATGTTGGTCTCCTAATGCACTATTCCGATTACACATAAATAATAAAATGAACAGATTTAAACTACTCGCGGTTAATCAGATTTAGATTAAAGGAATAAGATGAGGTCTGGGGTAGCCACAGAGGTTTTTGTCAATCTTTTATTTGATGAAGTAATAAGACGTTTGTCATAATCTTGATCTTCATGATTATTATACTGTATGTATAATAACCATTATTATACATACAGTATAATAATCACGTGATTAGTACCGATGATCAGGATTATACAGTATGTAATAGATTCGATGTAATTTTCGATGTCACTATCCTCAAAAAGTCATGCAAATAATCATATTTCGTCACCGTCAACAACATTGAGTATATCGTATTATGTATTAGATATCGAAATGTATTACATACATACATATATATATACATATATATATGC